CAGAGATAGACAAATGGGACTATCTTAAACTAAAAAGCTTCTGCACCTCAAAAGAAACAGTGACCATAATACAAAGACAGTCTACATAATGGAAAAGGATATTCGCTGAATACCCATCTGACAAGGGGTTGAAATCAAGTATATACAAAATACTGGTAGAACTCCACAAGAAGAAAACATCCAACCCCATCAAAAAATGGGGCAATGAAATGAACAGAAGAAACTTTCTCAAAGAAGAAATCCAAATGGCTAAAAGGCACATGAGAAAATACTCTACATTACTAATCATCAGGGAGATGCAGATAAAAACAACAATGAGATATCATCTCACATCACAGAGACTGGCCCACATACAAAGAATAAAAGCAACTGGTGTTGGCGTGGATGTGATTAGAAAGGGAACCTCCTTCACTGCTGGTGGGAATGCCGACTGGTTCAGCTCTTTTGGAAAATAGTATGGATGATTCTCCAAAAATTAGAAATTGAGCTCCCATTTGATCCAGCAATACCACTCCTTGGAATATATCCCAGAGAGGCAAAAAAAGTATAGTCGAAGTGACATCTGCACTTGTTTGTTCATTGTAGCACTCTTTACAATAGCTAGAATCTGGAAAATACCTGAATGCCCGAGAACAGATGACTGGTTAAAGAAACTTTGGTACATCTACACAATGGAGTTCTATGTAGCTGTTAGAAAAGATGAAGTCACAAAATTTACATACAAGTGGTACTACATGGAAAGTATCATGCTAAGCAAAATGAGTCAGAAAGAGAGGGACAGACACAGAAAGACTGCATTCATCTGGGGAACATAACGTAACAAAATAGGAGATCAACACCCAAGAATGGCCGAGATAAGTACCAGGAGGTTTACTCCATGGTTTGGAGGCCATTCATACATGCAAGGGGGAAAGGCAGCTCAAATAGACAAGGGAGACCAAATAAAGGGTATTGGGAGGATCCACCCAAGATGGGAGATGCATGCTGAAAGTAGACCATAGACCGAACATGATTGCCACTCAATGCCTCTCTTGCAAACCACATCACCCAAAAGGAGAGAGAGAACAAAAGGAAATGTCCTGCCACAGGGGTGTGGTGGAATGGGGGGGGAGATGCTGGGAGCATTGGAGGTGGGGAATGGGCACTTGTGGAGGGATGGGTACTCTATCATTGTATAACTGAAACCCAAACACAAAAATTTGTAAGTCTACAACTGTACCTCATGGTGTTTCACTAATAAAAATTTTTAAAAAAAAAAAACAGAGAGAGAACTAAATCTTGAAAGAACTGTAGGGAGAATTAACTCTGGGTAATTTGTCTTAGAAGACTAAACTTCTAAGAGAGAAAATGGTCAATTAGAGGGTTATTTGGTGGGCATGTACAAGATGAGAGAATAGTTGGTATTGAGGAATTTTCCTTTCAAATTAGGATACCTCTAATCCAGCAAAGTTTCTTCTTTACTCTAGAATCATTTCTCTTTGACAAATTGATTGTAGTCCTTGAACTTAAAGAGTCCTTTACCATCATTCCCAATATGCACTTATTTGTATTTTCTTGTTTGTTTTGTATTTTGTTTACTGTTATCCTATTTTTACCATAAGACAACTTTCTCCTGATGTGACAGCACAGCGGTAGGGCATTTGCCTTGCACGCAGCCAGACCGGCCAAGCTGTGTTCGATTTCTCCGCCCCTCTTGGAGAGCCTGGCAAGCTACCAAGAGTATTCAATATGCCAAGCACAGTAACAAGATGTCTCACAATGGAGACGTTACTGAGCCCACTCAAGCAAATCAATGAACCACAGGAGGACAGTGTTTGACAGATGATCCAGAAAATGTTTAGTTCTCTCATAAAGCTTTTATTATTGATCAACTTTTGCTGCATTAACTGCATGTATTTTCCAGTTCAAGCAACTGTGATTTTTTTGTTTGTTTTGGACCACACCCTGCTATGTGCAAGGACCTGGCTCTGTTCATGATTACTTCAGCAGGCATCAGGAATTCACATGGAGTGCTCGGGATTGAACCAAGATTAGTTAAATTCAAGGCAAGAGCCTAATGAGCTGTACTTTACATCTTATACCTTAACGTGATTCTTTTTTTCTAATTGAATCACTGTGACATACAGTTACAAAGCTTTCTGATAAAGTTTCAGTCATACAATGATTGAACACCCATTCCACCAGTGTGAGTTTTCCACCACCAGTATACCTCTTGCCACCCTCACTCCACCCCACCCCCTGTCTTTATGGCAGGCACTTTCCTTTTTACTCTCTCTACTTTTGGGCATTATGGTTTGCAATACAGATACTGAGAGGCCATCATATTTGGTCCTTTGTCTACTTTCAGCACACATCACCCTCCAGAGCGATCCCTCCAACCATCATTGACTTAGTGATCCCTTCTGTTTCCCAACTGCCTTCTCCTCTCCCCCCAAACTGCACATGAGGCAAACTTCCAAGTGTGGAGCACTCCTCTAGCTCTTATCTCTACTGTCTTTGGGTGTCAGTCTCATATTATTTTACATTTCACAGACCCCCCATCTTCCAGTAGATAGACCATTACACCCACCAACTACCATGTAACCCCATCAATGGCCAGGACTGTAAAACCAAGCACCCAAAAGAGAACAACGCAGAATCTCCTGCCCCCGCACCTGGCTGTCCTCACCAGGGACCCTTGGAGGAGAGCAGGTTGAGTGTCCCTCTCCACCCCGAGCAGAACCCTAGCAGCTGAAGACCTCTAGGACCCAGTCACAGCAATGCTGAGACCACTCTCCACATGCTCAGACAAGACTCACGCATGAAGGAACTGGCAGAGGAACCCAGGTGTGCGGGACCCGGGGCTGAGATTTCTAAGCCTGCTTGGTTCGGGACTGGGCCTCCACCCAGACCCTCCACTTCCAGCAGCTAGACAGTTACACGTACCAACTGCTGTGTAACTCCATCAACAGCCAGGATCCAAAGATTATAAAACCAAGCTCCTGGAAGAGAACAACGCAGAGTCTCTCAATCAGACCTCTTATTCTCTAATTCTCACTCTCAGAGAACCTGGCAGGCTAATGAGAGTATCCTGCCTGTATATATGCCTGACTGGGAACACTGTAAAGGTGATTAGAGGCTGCCCCAAAAGTCTCCATCCCTCTCGGAGAGACTGGCAAGCTACCGAGAGTATCTCATCTGCATGGCAGAGCCTGGCAAGCTACCCGTGGTATACTCGATATGCCAAAAACAGCAACAATGATGGTCTTCATTCCCCTGACCCTGAAAGAGCCCCCAACATGCCATCGGGCTACACTAGCATGTGACAGGGATGAATGAAGACGTTACTGGCGCCCACCTGAGCAAATCAATGAACAACGGGGTAATAGTGATAGTGATAGTGATACATTCCACAAATGAGTACAATCATTCTCTGTCTGTTCCTCTCTTTTTGACTCATTTCACTTAGCATGATATTCTCCATGTAATTACACTTATTAGCCAATTTCATGATTTTATCTTTTCTAATAGCTGCATAGTATTCCATTGTATAGATATACCATAGTTTCTTAACCAGTCATCTCTTCTTGGGCACTCAGATTGTTTCCAGATTCTGGCTATTATGAACAGTGCTACAGTGAGCATACAGGTGCAGATGTCTACTGTGCTTTTTTGCACCCCCGGAATATATTCCCAGAAGTGGTATTGCCTGGTCATATGGAAGCTCAATATCCAGGTTTTTTTTTTTTGAGGAATGCCCATATTGTTTTCCAAAATGGCTGGATCAGTTGGCATTCTCACCAACAATGAATGAGAGTTCATTTCTCCCCACATTTGTGGCAGCTCTGGTTATTCTTGTTCATTTTGATGTGTGCCAATTAACTGTGATCCTTTATGTGAATAATAACCATTTTTACTGTTGTTTGTTTAAGGTACTAATGTTAACTCTGTTTTCCACTTTATCTTTTAACAATTCCAAAATACAGGTGTCATTATTATTATTATTTCTATTTATTCTATGGGAACAAAATACACTAGGCTAAACAATTTGCCTAAAGTCACAGTGTTAAAAAGCATTGGAGTTGAAATTTCTTTGCTTTGAATCTAAATGATAGAGTTATTGTAATATTGTAACATTAAATAAAAAGTTTAAAATATTTTAATTCAAATTTTAATTTTAATATTTCATTCAAAAATAAAAAGTATTTTTATAATATTAACTATAAAAATATAATTTCATAACATTATTTTATAATTAGAATAGAGTTATAAACAGTAGGATTTCAATCTAAAGAATCCAGCTCTACCCGAGGCATATTCGATATACCAAAAACAGTAACAACAAGTCTCACAATGGAGACATTAATGCTGGAGCAAACTGATGAACAATGGGAAGAGAGCACTACAGTGCAGAGCAGTGCTGATCTCTATATGTTGTTTTACCGACTTTAACAAAGTATTTAAAAAACTGAAATCACGTTTCTAACCGACATCCCATGTATATAAAACAAGAACATAGTTTCTAATCTATTACAAGAAGTTTGATAATTTAAAAACCCATACACCTTCCCTCCACACTGGACCTACAAGGGAGAGGCCCGGAGTAGCTTGCAGTGCCATTGGCTGCAATTTTCTGTTTGCCCACTTAAAGAATTGACTTGGGGTCAGGAAGGGACTGAGTTGTTGGTTTTTTTTTTTCTAGAAGGGAACCGCAGATCAAGCACAATTGGGAGACTTTGCTCCACAGCGAGCACTGAGTACAGGCCGAACTTTAAAAGTTCATAGTCACTTCCGCCTGCGCCTCCGTAGCTCCGCCCACAAGAGCGGAAGTGCTTTTCTTCTGGGTCCTCCCGCCTATAGGGGGCTCTCTGGGGCTTCTTGTGCCACGGAGGCCTCCCGTCTGGGCTGTCCCGGGAGCGCCTATTAGTTGGGCTCCAAAGAACAACAGCATCGTAACTCTTTCGGCTTGGAAAAATAAGACATTCACAAGCATCTCACCCGGAACAATACAGTTCGAGCCCAACTTCGGCTTGCGGCCCTCCCTCCCACGCCCTGATGCGGAGGTAGTTGGAGTCAGGCAGCAGAGGGCAGCCCCACGAGCCGAAGGCCCCCGGCCCGCTTCCTCCTGTGAAGACGTAGCTGCGGGTGGCTGTGGTGGCGTCCAAGATGTCGACCAAGAATTTCCGAGTCAGTGACGGTGACTGGATTTGCCCTGACAAAAAGTGAGTTCGTGAAGACTCCGGAGATTGGGATGGGCCGTGGTGGCGGGGGCTTCGTCCGGGCCGTGTGCCCTTTGCCGTGGTGGCGGTCTCGGGTGCCTGAAACCGGATCGAGGCGGCCGACAGCGGGCTGCCAGGCGGGAAAGGAGGCTCCCGATGATCCGCCTGCGTGGGGAGTCCCTGGGCCTTTGTTTTTTGAGTAGCACCCCCCTCGTCGTTTGCTCCCACTTCCCCGCTCCAGCACTGCCCGTCGCCGTGGCGTGCGTGTTGTCCTTCCCGTGGCCCCCGGCCGCCACCCCGCCGCCTCTCCAGGTTTCCGCGATAAGGAAACCGCGGCCACGGCCCGCTCGGTGTTGGGTCTCGCTCACGTGACTTTCCCCGCAACTTTCCCGTGCTTCCCCGAACGTGTTGCTCTCGCCCGTGTTTATCCGTTGACATCTCTCGGCCCCCTGGTATCGTGTGTGTGTGTGTGTGTGTGTGTGTGTTGGCATCTCTCACCCCCTGATATCGTGCGTGTTGGCATCTCGACCCTCTGTTATCATGTGTGTGTTGGCATCTCTGTCTCCTGATAACGTGTGTGTGTGTGTGTGTGTGTGTTGGCATTTCTAGGCACCCTGATTGTCGTGTTGTATATTTGGCATCTCTCGGCCCCCTCATATCGTGTGGTGTGTGTGTGTGTGTGTGTGTGTGTGTGTGTGTGTGTTGGCATCTCTCGATCCCTTGATATCGTGTTGTTGGCGTCTCTCGGTCCCCTGGTATCGTGTGTGTGTGTGTGTGTGTGTGTGTGTGTGTGTGTGTTACGGTTGAACTTTTCCTCCCTACTTCCTAACCCCCGGCCCCCACCCAGCGCTGCGCTTTTCCTAGTCCGACCTTTTCCCAGTCCTCATCGTTCGCTCCTTCCCGGGTATAGAAAAAAAAACTTAGCCCTGTGGAACCGAGTAGTTCCCCGGGCCCGCACTTGTCGCCCATGCAGCCCCGGAGCCGCCTGCAGAGGTGAAGCACCACGTGTTGCAGCGGCTGCTTTTCCGAGACTGTCGTGCAAAGGGCTGTGCCGTCCTAAAGGGTTCGGTTTTTCTGTAGGAGGGTGTTTAGGGTAGGAGTAGGAAAGAAGTGTAAATAACTCTGCAAAGTAAAGGGAGGTTGGGGTTATTTTTAATTTGGGGGGGGAGTTGGGTTTTTGGTTTTGTTTTGTTTTGTTTTTTTAAGGGGAGTGACATGCACGGCTAAGATGCCACTAAAGTCTCTTAGAAACTGCACGCTGGAACTCACCTGGCCTTTTGGCTGGTACTGGGCGGGCTAGTGGGGGGCAGTCCTTTCGGGTTTTACTTCCAGTCTTGTGACAACCTACTTGTAAGCAGGTAATTGGCTCCCTTACAGGGAGTGCAGGAAATGGCACACTGCATGAGAAGCTGTGAAATGCAGCAAATACTGTCTTGCAAGCCTAGCTGTGGCTCGCCTTAGTCATTAGGAAATTAAATGAGCTAGTGCCATGAAAGATTTTTAGTCCATGGTTTTCCAGCGTAGTACACGGTAGAATGAAATCTTGTTTTTCATGACAGCTCTCGATCACAGAGAGATTTAGAGTCCCGGAAGGATTTCAGGTCTCTGGTATTGAATATAACGGGAGTCAGCAGGGACTGGTTTTGGCTCCTGGTGCTGCCAATAGATTGAAAACGTTCAGTGGTAGCGAACACCCCTGCCCTTTAATGATGGGAGTTTCGTAGAATAATGTGCTTTTGACAGTGTATGGAATGACATCATACCCAAATGTTTGAGCACATGCTGCTAAAGTATTCCAGTTCAGGTGCTGCCAAATGAATGGATTACTTTTAGACTGTAAGCCCAGAAAACATTTTCAGAATGTTTTTTTGAATGCTTATTCCGTCTTAAGGGATAGTATTCAGAAGGGAAAAAAACCCTAAGGATTATTTTGATTGCTTTATCATTTCACTTTTAACACCGAAAATTGTTAGACGCTTTTACATTGTGAGTTTCACTTGGCTTTCAGAACATTTAATGTTCGTTTACCAATGTATCAATACACTTAACTTGGATCATCTTCTCCCTGATCTTTTTGTTTCTGATTGCTAATATAAATATAAAGTATGGGCCAAAAAGTTCGGGGATTGAGGCTCTGCCCTTGATAAGTTCCAATCCTCCTCCATGCCACAAGAATACCATTATACCTTGTGCCACTAAGGTTATTGGCTTTGATTGTCTTTCTTTAAAAACTAGGTCACTGGTTAGATAAATATCCAGGAAAACTGCTTCCTTATAAAAATATAAAAACTGAACCTAAATATAGTCAATACAAATTATCGTTTTTCATTTTTTCTTAAACACCTTACCTTGTGAAAGGCATTGGATCGTGAGACCCTCTGATTTATCCATCCATTTCCCTTTCTTAGGATTTTGTATTTCTTAGACTCACAGTTTTGTGTATATTATATTTTCTATGTTGGGAGTTTACTTTGTGGGGAGGCAGAGTGCCGCACTCAATTGTTCTCAGGCATCACTCCAGTGTTGAGTAGTGTAAGTCAAGTAGGGTTGGCCACAACTACTAGTGTTCTGCCACATGCAAGGCAAGCATCTTATCCCTGGACTATCTCTCTAGCCCAGGAAGTTAACTTTTCAGATGTTTTTTAATTGCCTGGTGTCACATCTCTAATTGTTGAAGAAGAGTCAAGTTTTACCATTCAAGGGAATTTTGCAGTAAATAATGGCATATGCTAATTAGAGGATTCTGGCACTTAGATCCTAAATTAGCTGCCAGGATCACATATCTAAGAAGAGGGAGATTGGACTGTCTATCTTAGACTTGTGACTTCAGATCTTACATTTTTCCACCTAAATTATGCGTTTTCTTTTAACATTACTAAGGTGGCATTGGAAGTTCTGGATTCACATAGAGAGTTTTTTTTTTAATGAAGTGATATGTTTAAGTTAATATTTAAAAGATAGCTATAAATGTTTTGTTTTATTTCAGATGTGGAAATGTAAACTTCGCCAGAAGAACCAGCTGTAATAGATGTGGTCGGGGTAAGCATCTAAGGAAGTTTCTATTAAGGTGTTATGTATGGATCATTTTTTTCCCCCATTTGTCCAGATAATGCTGTATTACCTTTCTGTTTCAGAAAAAACAACTGAGGCTAAGATGATGAAAGCTGGGGGCACTGAAATAGGAAAAACGCTTGCAGAAAAGAGCCGAGGCCTATTTAGTGCTAATGACTGGCAGTGTAAAACGTATGTATTTCAAATTATCATCTACTTTTCCTTGGTAAAATAGCTAGCCAACTATTTGCATGTGTTACTTGTTTTTATCAGTAACAGGACAAACTCAGATAAAACTTGTAAATCTTTCACAAGCTCTTAAAATTCTGTTTAATGGTAGAAATAATTACTTTGGTGTGGTGTGTAAGCCAAGTTGACAAAAACTGAGTATGAACTAACATCCAAAAAAGGACGGTTATTGAAAGCACTAAAGCATTTTTTGATACTAATAAAAATTCACAGCAGACTTCTTCCTCTATCATTGTGTGAAATATACCACAGAAGTCATTTTGCCTCTGCAAATTTCATAATTATAAGTTGAATGTCATAAGAATTATTAAGGTAGTTTTTAAATTTTGGTTTCAAGTTCTGCATTGACTTTTCCAACTTCCTAGATTCTGTTAGGCAGGTAAATCAAATATTCTCAAAAGTGGACTAAGTCCCTTAGGTCAGTTTCTGATACCACTGATGATAAGTTTATTATGAAATTTCCCTGCAGTAAATTAAGTCACTGAGTTTGATGTGTTATTTAATTCAGTATTTGAAATGGTTCCTCAAAAACATTGTTTTAAGCATTATTTTCTGGAGGCTAGGAATGTAATCACACAAATTTTAGGAACCTTTAAAATGTAAAGTTTTTTTCATGAAGTACAACCTTAAAAGTGAAGCCTTAAGCTCAATTTAAAATAACAGTTTTCCACTTAGGTTATCAGAATGTCCATAGATATAATGTTACTTATTTTCTCATACTGTATAAATCTCTTGCTTTTCTGCTTAGATAGTTCAGTTTGTTAGAGAATAAATTTTCTCAGACTACACATTTTCTTTTCATTATCTTTAGTGAACATTTCTTTATGGTAGTGATTTTATCCTAGTTTTTATTTTAAAATTCGAGAATATCTAAAAATGCTTAGCTTTTTCTAGTATATTATTATTAGTTCAGTATTTTTCACTTCTGTCACTTCTAAAGTTGCAGTAATGTGAATTGGGCCAGAAGATCAGAGTGTAACATGTGTAATACTCCAAAGTATGCTAAATTAGAGGAAAGAACAGGTAAGAAACAATTGCATTCTGTTTTTAAAATAACTGAAAATGTAATTCGTAATGTATCACCAACTTCATGAGAAAAAGTAATTTAAGCATTCTGCTTTATTCTGCACTTGTTTTGTTTATGGTGGTGGGGAGCAAAGGTCTAACAGGCAGTGCTTTGCAGCTACTCCCAGCTCTGTATTGAGGTGTCACTCCTGGTGGTAATGATCAGGATTATGTGATGCTGGGGTTTGAATTGAACTCCCACATGTAATGTTTGCCTTTTCAGCTATCTCTCCAGTCCTTTTCAATCCTATGTTTAGGTTTGGGAGAAAGGGTCACACCTGACAAACAAGCATAATTTTAGCCTCTATTCTCTGTCTAGACCCTGCCATAGGATGATCTCTACTTTTCACCATCATACACAAAATGTCATCTTCTGTTTTATAATTTCATAACTTCAGAGCACAACAAAAGGGACCCTTAAATGAAAATATTTACCTAATATAGTTTTCCCATTATCAGAAACTAACAACCATAGTATTCATGCTTCAAATCTGATTTTCTCATTCATCTCATACATCCTATAGTTTAAGTTTGGGGTTTTTTTGTTTGTTTTTGTTTCTTCTTTTCCAAACTATCAGACCTTGATTTGGTAACTTTTCTGTTTCCTCTGTTTCTGTGATAAACTCTGCTCTGTCTGGTTTCTAGGGACAAAAGACTCATTATAGAATCTTTGGGACTTTTCCACATTTCAACAGAAATTCTTGATTTTTTCCCCCCTGTTTGTTTTCTAATTTACATTTTTACATGAGCATTGAATGTAAAGTCAGTTATTTTTCCTTTTTCAGTCCTCAGATCTCACCCCACTCCTTCATTTTTCAGGAAGCAATTTTGCCTTTGTACTGAGTGGGTAGATCCATTGGATAACAAGTTTCTCCCCTCTGCCCCACTTATCCATCTCCAGTAGTAGAATTCTCCCCTCTAGCCCCCACTTAACACTTTCAGACATTTCTGATGATTTGTTCTGTTGCCCTTTCTTTTGTTTGTTTCATCCTTTTCAATTTACTGCCTGGCTACAGAATGTTGAAGTTTCTTAAGGCTTAGTTCTTAAGCTCTTCTTTTCTTCTTTTCTGTTTTCTAGGCTTCCCAAGAACTGATCAGGAGGGTGGATACCTTTTTTCCCTTCTAGTGATTCCTGTTGTTCAGTGCAAGAGCCCAGGGATGTTTGTTGCTTGTGCTATACAGTTCTGGGGATTGCCCTGTCTAGGCACTTTTATCCTTAGCTCTAATCTTCATTAACCATTGGCACAGTTTGCGAGCCATATTTGTTTCTAAAGCTCAGATTTCTTGAATCCAAATAGTCAAATCCTTTTAATCCAATATTCAGGTGCCTTCTCAGTATCACCAGTGTCAAACTCATAGTCAAACTGAAACATGATTTTCTTTGATTTTTCTAAGGTACCACCAACCATGAGCTTGTTATAGAAGCCAAACACATTGACATCTTTTTTTGTAACTCATTCATCTCTGTACCTCTTCAAATAAGTCTTTTCCATTACTGAGATATGTATTTGTTTGTTTGTTAATATGGGGCCACACCTGGTGATGCTCAGGGGTTACTCCTGTCTCTTCATTCAGGAGTTACGCCTGGCAGTGCTCAGGTTGGGTGTGTGCAAGGCATACGCCCTACCCTCTGTACTATTGCTCTGACCCCTGTATTTTTTTTTATATTTCAGTTTGGGGGGACATTTTGTGCTCAGGAATTAATACTGGCTCTGTGCTCAGGGATTACTTCTTGCAGTGCTCATAGGACCACATGCAGTGCCAGAGATTGAACCCTTGTTGGTCACGTGTAAGACTGCTGGCCTACCTACTGAAATGTTTCAGGTCCAAGAGAATGACATTTTATGAAAGAAACACAGATCTTCCCTGAGTCCTCTAACCCACCTGTGGCTACTGTTTAGTGCAAGTGATGCTTTTGATCTTTTTTTTTATGGTAACTTCTGGGTTCCTCTTTTCTGACAGTGCTGGAGAACCATCTGCAGTTCCATGGATTTGTACTATGGTCTGTAGAATGCAAAGAAAGTGTATTAACCCCTGTAGTGTCTCTCTGGTCCCAAATTTACTCTTATATTTAAGAGAAGTGTTCATGAAGTAAATTGCTGGTAGGTTCACATAGCGTGCTTTAATGGTCTTATTATCAACAGATTGATTTTCTGTGGGCAATACGTGGGCATGTAAACACAGCCTTTTATTTACTGTTACATTCATTTTAAAGTAGTTTTACTTATACATCGAAAACTGAGATAGGTCTCATTTTCTAAATCTTGACTATAATCCTTCAAATTTCTGTTTGGTGTAACGTTTTCAACTGGGGATTATTGGTATGACAGTACTATTCGTAAGCCTTTTGTAATTTCAGGATGTGGCCCAGGGTAGAAGGCTTGCCTTGCATACTGGAGTTGAGGGTTTACCTTGGCACAGAGCCGGAAGAGTAGTGTTCTCTCCCAGCCCCCAACTACTACTAGGTGTGGCTCCAAAACAAAATCTAAATAAATAACAGCCATTCTTTGCCTTTCCTTGGTATATAACTGACACAACATTCTATTAGTTCAGGTGTACAAGATAATGTTAAGACTGTTTCTGTAATGGAAATGACGACTGTGGCAATTCTCCACAATAAAGCCTTTTGGGTTGGCATCTTTGCCCTCTTTCCAGCAGAGTCGGTCGTGCAGAATGAGACAGATGGATGCTTTGGATGTCCTGGTTGCAAACTTGCCATGATGTCCCTGAACAAGGGATAACCTGGTCATTTAATGAACAAAATTTTTTCTCGTCCACCCTGGCTCCATAACTCCAGACATGTGAGCTGTGGAAAATATATTGTCTCAGGAATGTGATAGGAGTAACAAAGAGATGACACTCAAGTTTCGTGAAAACTAATAACATTAAAACAGATGTTGGTGTTGTATTTCATCAGTATTTATTTCATTATTGTAAAGATTTTACTGATTCTTTTTCAATTTAGTTTCTTCTGTGGGTGACTTGAAATGTCAATACTCACTTTTTAGCCTTTGATGGGCAGAATTATGATTTTAAAAATATAAAAATTAATGCTTTTATAATTATAAATTTTATCGATCATCTTTGCTTATTTGTGAAATCTTTACATCCTGGAAATCTTAATATCTTTGTACTTGTTTAATGTATTTGTACCTCTTTGGAATATATAGGGTAGTGCAATTATGTTATGACTTTTGATCATATACCTACTTTTAATAGAAGATTCAGTATCACAACTTTCAAATTCGCTCTTTAATCCTTTTAAACTCATTTCAAAAATCTGTTAGTTTTAATTGTAGTTCTCTATTGTGTGACATGAGAAGTTTACTGGCTGCTTCCGAGAGCCTGATAACTATTAGCTCTGTATTTAAAACAATTAGATTAAAACTAATATAGATGTCCTTTACCACATCATTTTACTTGCCCATATATTAGGAATTTTCGAAATTTGTAGCTACATTTTAGCCTCTCACCTTTTAATTAGAATATTCAAAGTGCATACTGCTGGGTTAACATTGTGGTTTAGTTTTTTGGCCTTTTTAAAACCACTTCTTTCCCAGAGAGTAATAGTTATAGCAGAAGGGTACTTTAAAACTTATTGCAGAGGTTTGAATAGAAGTCTCCTCCTACTGACTATAATTCCATGAATTGCCTAAGTCATGAATATTTTGAACTGATCAGAGGTAGCTGTAGGAATTTTCCAGTTGGCTCTATAACTGAGTCTGTTCTCTGTAGTTATTTTTTGTTAAACATGTTTGTGTTTAAGACTTGTATTCTATGAGATGGGTATTCTAAAAGATGGGTATGTACTGTCATTGATAAGTGACAGTGGTTTGTACAGGTTTTTGTCATTTTAGTAATTCCTTACTTAGTATAGCACTTTATGCTCTTTATTTTAGGATATGGTGGTGGTTTTAATGAAAGAGAAAATGTTGAATATATAGAAAGAGAGGAATCTGATGGTGAATATGACGAGGTAAGCTTACTATAGTGTGCGTGGTCACTAAATTTGAGAAACATTTGAAGATAATCTTAAGGGCAGAGGAAATTTTTTTTAATGTCTTATTTTAAGGATAACTTACGTGTTACAGCATCTTTCATTTTGTAGAAAATCATCATTGATCTAAACATAATTGATGTAGCACTGTTAGCACTGTCCTCCCGTTGTTCATTGATTTGCTTGGGTGGGCACCAGTAACGTCTCCCCTGTGAGACTTGTTACTGTTTTTGGCATATCCAGTACATCATGGGTAGGTTGCCAGGCTTTGCCGTGCGGGCAGGATACTCTCGGTAGCGTGCCAGGCTCCCCAAGAGGAATGGAGGAATCGAATCTGGGTCAGCCGCGTGCAAGGCAAATGCCCTACCCTCTGTGCTATCGCTCCAGCCCTTTATTGGTGTAATGGACTTAAAAATCTATTATTATATAATTATATAATGATATTATATGTTGACTTAAATATATAAAAGAAATTTCCTGGGGAGAAGTATCACTACCATTTTCTGCTGACAGAATGTAATGAAATGAATTTAACTTCTAGTTTGGACGGAAGAAGAAAAAATACAGAGGGAAGGCAGTTGGTCCTGCATCTATTTTAAAGGAAGTCGAGGATAAAGAATCTGAGGGAGAGGAAGAGGATGAGGATGAAGATCTTTCTAAATATAAATTAGATGAGGTAAACAATTTTCTGTCATTTTGTGCTGTGGCACATGAATGTTCTTTATATATTTTTGCCATTGGTAAAAAGTACATTATCGTAGGTGATTTATTTTTGCAAAAATTTTATGCTTCCACTCTGCCAAGCACTAATCTCTCTTAATATGATGTAGTAACAGATCCATAGAAGAGTTATTTATATTTCATAGAGTTGGTGGGGACTGAGAATGTTAATGTGTGTTGAGATAAGAAATGTGTACATGTAGTTGATTTGTTTGGGGACACATTTGGTGGCACTTGTAAGCTACTCCCAGCCATGTGCTAAAGAATTAACTCCTGGCAGTGCTTGAGGAGTCAAACTGGGCTTGCTGCATGCAATTCAAGTTCTAACCCTGTACTATCTCTCAGGCTCATCCAAATTTATTTCAGAAAATCAAAGGGCTAGGGACATATTGTTATGGGTCGGCCACTTGCCAACCTGATCCCTGGCACATATATGTATGATCCTCTAAGCATTCCAGGAGCAATCCTGAGTGTAGGGCCAGGCCCGAAGCCCTGAGCACCACTGATGTGGCCCCAAAGTAAAAACTGAAAGAAGTCATTCATGGGGCTGAGAGCATAAGAGAGAATCCAATGAGGGCAAAAACTACATGAAGTCTGGTGATTCAGAAAAGCAAGGTTTTTATATATAGACCCTGGTAGAGGATTGGGTAAAATAGTATATTTGACTTTGTTTAGAACACACTCTCAAGTGCAGCTACAGTCAATGTGGGGAAAGAAAGAAGTTTCTAAAAGACAAATGGGATCTTCTCCCTTTGTCTTTGCTTTAAGAGTAGTAATTCAGTATATTGAGCTATTCATTGCACAGTTTCCCAAGTTAGGGAGAACTACCGAAAAATTTAATACGGTAGCAGGGAAAAAGTATTGCGGTAATACTAAGAAAATGATTGAAGTAGAATTGCACATTCTTGATGACCTATCTGTGAATACTTTGTAAAAGGAAAAGAGAAAAAGTATTGCTTTGAAATGTCTGAGAGTCATTAAGCTGTTAAAAAACTGAGAAAAGAACTTTTGTATACAGATGACAGAATTTTTAATTTGTTGATGGTGTCTGGTATACAGAACTGTTAGTGTTAACATCTTAATGACTAAATATAAATATTTGTTAGGATGAGGATGAAGATGATGCTGACCTCTCAAAATATAATCTTGATGCCAGTGAAGAAGAAGATAGTAATAAAAAGAAATCTAATCGACGAAGTCGCTCAAAGTCTCGATCTTCTCATTCACGGTCTTCATCACGCTCATCCTCCCCCTCAAGTTCAAGGTCTAGGTCCAGGTAAACGGGTACAGGTCAAGGGTAACACCAGTCAAAATGTCAGTATCTAACTTCCTTATTTATAAATTTTGTTTTGTTTTGTTTTGACTGAATATGTTTTCCTTTCTATGTTAGAGATTTCATATGTTAACTTTTAAAAGATAATCCATCTTAATGACATGACAGTATCCGAAATTCAAATTAGAAGCATTAATTCATTTTAGCACCCTTTATAAAAGGTATTTTTATTAAAATAGACATTAAAATTCAGTCACATAGTGTCGTTTAATTATGTAAGTAACTTACAGAATTTTTCATTGAGTGACGTAAAGATATATTGATGGTGATAAAAGTCTAGGACAGGAATTTTCCAGGAAATTATTTAGTTTAAAAAGTAGGTAATTTTCTCTGATGTAGATAGTTTGAATAAAGGAACATGTTGAACCATATTCTGTTTGGTTAATTTTCATAATATTAAGATGTCTGGGAATGAGAATATTTAATTGATCATGTTCTGTTATTAATGTTAAATATTTCCTGTTTTTATAGTTAAGAATAAGATATTGACTGGGAAAAAAGGAGTTCCTATATCAACATGTTTTGAAGAATTCATGGTTAAATGAAACCATGAGCAGTGAATTTTAATGGTATTTAGAAATACAGATTAGCTAAATATGTATCTACAGATAGGTAATTATTACAAGGTGATGAATCCTTAAAAGAATAATATTAAAGATAATAACTATAAGATGAAAATGTAATCAACTTTTTCTACAGGTTATGTTTTAAGGTTCATATTGAAAGTATAAACAAATTCTATTTTTCTTTGTTAGCTTCTCAAATTCAATTGAACTCTGTCTCTTTCATATTTTTCAGTAGTATAAGTATGTGAAACAGTGACAGATTTGTTAAGTATTGTTTATCTACTTTAGCTATGCATAGACAGTAAAGTACAGCAGCTAATCAAACTTACATACCAATGTTTATAGCTTTATGCTTGCTGGAAAATACATTATAAAATAGATTTTATAAGAGAAGTGGAGACATCATAGACATGTTAAATATAGCTTAGTTTTTTATGAATACTTGAAACCTGGTGACTAAAATATCAACATAAATATTCATTATTAAAAAGTGATGCTGACGTTTATTTAAATTTTATATTTGAATTTTTTTTAGTAATGGAGTCAAACTCGAAAACTGATAGTTGTTTAGTTTTAAAAGCTACTAAGTTTTGACATAAATACTAAAATAGAAAAAGTTCAGTTATCTTAAATACTGTTTTGAAAATTTATTTCAAAAGTTTTTTAAAACAAAATAAACTGATGCCTTTCTTTCAGTGTTCATATCACAAAGCTAAGTAAGTTGTCCTAGAAAAAAAAAATCCTTCCATATTGTTCCAGGTCCCGTTCAAGAAGTTCTTCCAGTTCGCAGTCAAGATCTCGTTCCAGTTCCAGAGAACGTTCGAGATCTCGTGGGTCGAAATCAAGGTGAATGAGGTAGCATCTCTCTGTAAAGCAGAGAGAAATACTTAAAGTCTGCAGAAAGCGTAGCTGCTTTTTCCCTCTTATTTTGCTTCTACTTGTCAATTTTATTTTAGCATTAGAAAACTAATGCTTTTACCATCAGCTTCTCACCATGAGATGTTTCCATTATCAGCAGTGTGCCAAGACATTCCCATGATTGAATTAAGGTGGCTATTTGTAGTATCTAAGGTTTGTTATTTTTGTGCTAAAATGTGGTGAAATAGGATGAAACCATTTCATCACCAATATTGAGGATGTGAAATTTGTAACAATAACCTAAAATACATGTGAATAAAAGGTCTACTCCTGTTACAAAACTGAATCCAAAAGATTTTGTGGAATTAAGCGATAGTTTAACAGGTAGGACACTTGCCTTGCATGCAGTGGACCTGTGTTGGATTCTGGGCATCCCAACTGGTCCCTCAAGCACCACCAGGAGTAATTCCTGATGGTAGAGCCAGGAATAAACTCTGAGCATCACTGGGTATGCCCCCATCCCCTCTTCAGCTCCCCCAAATGTTTTTGCAGTTATCACAGAAAAAATTGTTCTGTTTATATCAGATTGAGTTTCTGAAGGGTTTTATACATATTTTCATCTTAAAGTACCATTCTATGATATTGTCTACAGTTATGTGTAAGATACTCGTTGATTCTACAACTTAGAATTGTTTAGTATAGGTATGATGTATTGATGTGATTTTAAGCATTGTTGTCCACTTAGTTGAGTTTAGGCAGACCTGTAGGGGGAAACCATTTGTAATTTCTTACAAGTAAAACAGTGGTTTCTTTAAAAAAAAATTTTTTTTTAAAGTTAAAATACACTGCCTTTTTAAGTTAATTTCTTGATTGGCACAAGGCATCTTACAAGAATAGAAAATGACAGGATCCTAATTGGATGAAACTTCAGTGTAGCTCTTCTGATAAAAATTATTAAATGGTATATTAGAGCCAACTCTTGACATTAGAGAACGGTTGCAGTTCAGTAAGCAAGAAAAAACTGATATGCACACTTTTTTGCCAATAAAGATAGTGGTTAAGTGAATTTGTGTTAATGTTTTAGTCTTTTTATTGAGTGCTTCTTAGATGAAACTCTATATACTGGTTCCTTTTGGAGAACACTGTTAACTAAGGTTTACAGTACAGCCTTCATATTCACCCCTAACAATTTTTCATTGCTTATAACTTTCCAAAGAATTCTCCTTTTGGGCTTTCTGATTTTATTTTAAGCCCAAAGGTGAATTTTTTGGGAAGTTTGAGCTAAAATCCTTCAACCCAAAATACGTAAACGAAGAAAATTTTAACATTTAAGCATTTGCACATTTCTGCCTTAAACATGTGAATGTCAACACTTTATACTTCATTAATAGTGGTCATTCATAAATATTAACATAAGTCAAGTTTAAAATAATTCATTTTATTCTTTGATTCTTACCAACTTAATAGTACTATTTTTCATTTCTATCCCCTATCCTTGCTCATTTAATAACTCAATATATTGCATAATTCTACAAAGAATTGCTAATTCTCCTCAGGAGATGGGCTATAAATACTTGGCCCTAATTGAAGGAATATATTGTCTATACATAAAGTGCAAGTGAAGTTACCTGTTGGTTTTGCTGTTCTCGTGCACATTAAAATAAAAACCTTATACTAAGGAAATTTTATTTTATTAGTCTAGTTTCTACTTACTGGTGATGAACACTTAGATTTTTTTTTAAAAAAAGACATGAAATTCATTGTATTTAAATAGAATTGTTTTCATGGTTGAACCAGACGTCTTCTCTTGAGTATGCAGTAAGTATTCCTTATAAAATTTTCATAGTTATAAATCCTGTATGTTTTGGGAGCTGTTGTTAACTAAGTAACCTACCTCATTTCTTCTTTTAATGAAATGTTTGATTTGTTTCTTAATTAATGAAGATCCAGCTCCAGGTCGCACAGGGGCTCTTCATCCCCACGAAAAAGATCTTATTCAAGTTCATCATCTTCTCCTGAGAGGAACAGAAAGAGAAGTCGTTCTAGATCTTCTTCATCTGGTGATCGCAAAAAAAGACGAACAAGATCACGGTCACCCGAAAGGTTTGGGTTTCTGTAGAAATAAGAGTGGGTGTTGAGTAGATAAACTAAACTTTACAGTCAAGAGTTAAGTTTTTAACATTAAATGATATTTTTCAACTTTGAACTTCAAAGAACATGAGTATATTTTGTGCGTTGATCAGGTTATTTCGAAGTTAAAGATTGAGTCTTCCACTATCTGATCACTTTTATTTCCATTTTTATTTTTATAAACAGTCATGACCAACTCTTGGTTATTTGTGTTTTAAGACCTTAATTATAAACATATTGAATTGATTTAGTGATTTTTATATTTATGATGTTGATTTTACAGTAAATATTAAAAGGCATAGTATACAATGTGCATTTAAGTTGAAAACTTTTTAGCAATTGGAAATCTGTCCTCTTTTAAATATGTGTTTTCATTTTCATAGCAAAGTGTTGTTTCATGCCCTTTATCTTATAGCTAATATTTTTTTCATCCAGCAGTTTGAATTTTTTTTAAAGAGGCTTTTATTGACATTTTTAAAATTTGGAGAGTATGCATATGCTTTGTTATCCTTTTAACAAAAGGCTACTTTATTATTTTTTTTTTCTTGTTCTCTGTCTAATTTCATGGTCGTTTAAATGGCTTCCTTTGTGATCCTAGCAATTTTTTCTCATCTTTTCTGTTGTAAAAGTGAAAATTAAGTAAAATCTGATTATAGCTGGGTTCACTGGTAGGATTACTCAAGATTCCTACTTAGAATAATAAATTTTGCTCCTTCACATTTGAAATTTAAATATTAAGTATTCCCAAGCTAGTCTATTTTCTGTGCATCTGTTGCTTTCTTACGACTTTTACAATTTTTTACCTTAGCCACATATAATCCCCCCAGTTTGTTGTCATATAAACTTAATGAACATGTTCTCTATTCCATAAGCCAGGTGATTGGTGAAAACTCTAAACAACCCTGAGCCCAGGGCCCAACCCCTTGGAACACCACTACTTTACCCAGGTTGATATATTGAATTATTCATATTAGCTGCATGAATATAATTTTATATTATACAATCACTTGGTGTGACTTTGACTTATAAAATATAGTTATTTGTAGATATATTCTGATACACAGAGCCTTTCTGTATTGATATTTTACATACAAATGTAACACACTATGATGTATCTCCAAGGTTGACTTGAATCACACTTCCATTGTCAAGTTTATACGCTTTTGTTGGGTATTACCTGTTTTATACATTTTTACAAGTCTTCATTAAGTAATTGAGAGTTGGCAATATCTTGAAGTGAGAAGTTACTTAAAATTGTAATTTTATGTTAATACTTTTTTGGGCTCACATTATGTGTATGTGGATCTATGATTTTTATTATCTTTTGTCAGCATAATGTGTATTCTCATAGTGTTAGAATTAATGCTGATACCTAACTTCAGTTTGCTAGATTATCTACTTTCTCCGTTTTCTTTTATAGGCACCACAGGTCATCTGGATCATCCCATTCTGGTTCCCGTTCAAGTTTGAAAAAGAAATAATGTATTAAAATTTCCATCTTAAAAAACAAAGCAAAACAAAACCAGTGCAGTGCATGAAGCATATTTTTTAAGAAGTTGGTGTCTTACTTGGTCAGAAGTGCTAAATCTGCTAGTAGAGGTGCATGCCTTTCATTGCTTTTCAGAACAATAAAACTGTGGGTTTTTTGTGAAATTAAAAGTAAATAGTATTTTAAGCCATAATGTTCCAAAAAAAATAGATACTCTATTTATTATTTACAACCATTTGTTTCATTTAAAGTCATCTAAACCAAAACAATGCTTTGGTTCTAGTTTGAACTCATAGTTCTATCTTTCCAAATATGAACTTTGGTAAGAAAGGATTACCTTGGTTTGCCTGAATTTTGGGCATGGAGACAAAAACTGTGGTAAAGTTGTTGGTTAAAATCTGTTATGTTAATCTGGGGAAAGGGTGTTTGACATCTGTTTTGCTAACGGATGTCAAAAGCAATTCTTCCAAAAAAATTTTTTAAACTAATTGTAACCCAGTCAACTGGAAACTTTAAAATTCCCTATTCTTAAAGGGTGCCTTAGAATCATTGTCTCTCTCTTTTACACAGTTGTACTTTTCTACACCGCAACATTTAATACAGGAAAATTCTGTAAATTTCAGCCGGAGAAAGGTGTTACTTATTTCTTGGTTTGTGATTCATAATTTGAGTGAGAATGTCTGCCAAATTCATCTCTTCACTATTGCTACAGTTGTCTTATACAAAAAATTTTATCCAAAATATGTTAATATTTGAGTTTTGTGTAATAGCCTTTAAGAATCCAGTTATCACAATAGGGTAGACAAAACAAATTAATACTGGAAAAATTGAAGAAAACTTAAATGTATTTCTTTTTTGGTGAGAGATCAAAAGAAACATTGTGGATTTAAATAACTATATTTGCCTTGATGTGTTTAAACACTGAATAAAAATTTCTTTAGTGTAACAAGTGCTGGTTTCTGGAAGAAACAGTAGGAAATAATACTATTCCTATTTACTTGAAATATCTTATGGCTTAAAATACTTTCAGTTTGTTTTATTTCTTAATTTGGTCACTCAAGCTCTTTGTCTATGGTTTTAAAAACAAAAAGGTTTCTCTTGACAGTATCTTCAGTGACAATGCAAGGTAAGTATATTGAGGGAAATCGACAATTGTGTTTTGGGGCTGACTTTTTGTCATGGGACTCAATACCTTTTTACCTTGTTTTTGATTTTTTTTCCAACATTAATGTATGCATTAATTAAAAATGAAAACATTTCTAAGCATTTAGTAGACCAACCAAAATTTGGGGGTTTTATTTTAAAATAAATAATTTTTTTTTCTTCAATTGATCTAAAGATGAAAGCAAAATATCTTAAAGTAGAAATATTTTGATAGTATTTTTACAATGAACTTCCCCTTGTTTTTTTACGTCTTAATTTTCTTTGCTACGTTTACTGTAGGTTGCACAAGAACTTTTACTCTCTTGTAATTGTGCCTCAGACTTCTTGAAAGTCCACCTTCTAAATTGCCCAGATGATCTAGATTTCACGTGTTACCATTGGTTTATTCTTGTGCTTTCTGTATTTAAAACTTTGGCTGTACTAAACAAATGCAAGGTTATAAATTTAGCTAATAGTAGATTACAGACAATTCAGGTGATTATGATTTCATTTGGTTTAAGCTGTACTAGTTCATTTCATAAGGAAATGATACTGTAGACAATGTTAATAAAGCCTGTGAGTCAAGCATCAAGTGGTGTTTGTTAGAAATAAATTAGAATTTTAAACTCTGACTTAGTGTTTATTCTGAAACTCATTGCAGTCATTTTACTTTCGGTTGTATTTTTTGATAATGAGAAAGTGCCTCAATCACTGACTACATTCCAATATGTTACTTCCTGTAGTAAAATAGGCATTTATGTGCTTTCTAAATTAAAACTATTGTCTTAGAATACTCAACAACTTACTTCCACTACTAAATTGTCTTGAATTTTTTATTGGGAATGCTTTCACCTAAGTGGAAATTATCATATAACTCACATTATTCCAGTATTGTCCATTGTGAGGTTTGAGTTTGGTTCCTACAGCCATTCTCTAATAGAAAGGACAATAGTCACAGAAAGGAGGGAAGAACTATTAGACGTGAGTTCCATGCCAGGAAGGTGATTTTTACCTTAACTAGGAGCCTTGACAATTAATTATATTGTCAGGAGACTTGACAATTTATCCAGGTAGAACAAAAGTCAGTTATAGTCACCGAAAGTGTTTAGTAAATGTTAATGATTTATTATTTTCTACACACATTTAACCACCTGGGTGCTTACATTAATGAGGTTGAAGGAGAAATTCATAATACTAAAGCCAATTCCTGCAGCAGTAAGTGATGATACCTGAATGTCCATTTTTAGCATTTTAAAATGCATACCAGCCTAAATTTATAAAAATGCAGGTGAATTATTATGATTATCAAAGTAGTGGAAAGGACTTGGCTTTGAAGCTAGAAATTATATATAGGACAGCTAGTTTCCCTTTATCAGCCTAGTGGAAGGTTTCTCTTGAGAATTGTGATAGAAATAAAGTCTAATAAAATGGAAGAACTGTTCTTAACTGAGAAAGCACAAATTTAAGGAATTAGACTTGAACACTCTTGCAGGGCACATTTATTGTTAAATAAGGTGAACTAATTTGCAGGGAATCAGTTTAATCCTCTTTATAAAAGACCAAGAATAATGTGTCCATGGGAAACCTGGGGAAAAGAAGGAACCTTCCAGTAATGCAGTCCACATGAAAATGAACCACAGTGACACTGAGTGGTTCAAAGGATGTCAGAAAATACTAATACCTTCATCTTTCATTCAGAACAACTCTATTTCTAGACCCAAAATGAAATATCTGTGACCTATTAGGTCATCACAAAGGCATCTACAACCTAAGGTAATGTGAAGTAGTTTAATTTATTAGCTATGACCCAGTGTGAGAACATACAGTGATATTTTGAAGTGTTTAATATATTTGGAGTATATTTAAAATACTCCTTATATAGCACCATTCTATATTGCAACCTGTTATGTATCTTTAAATTGTTTGTCATTTTCACTTGATAGACCTATGACCAAATTTTAAATCAAGAAAATTTTATATCACCAAGGACTGAAGCACCAAAAATAAAATTATCCTGGAAGAATTCATAGTCTTAATTTTTTTAATCCCATGATAAAGGGGGGGGGCTGGAGCCATGGTCCAGTGGGTAAGATGCTTGTCAAGCATGTGGCTGATCTGGTTTTGATCCTTGCTACCCCAGATAGTCCCCCAAGTATAAATGGCAGTTATATCCCTGAATAAATGAAATAAAAATGTTAAGACAAAATGGTAATAAGAAAACCTAATGCTAATCGATTATACTTTCTAAATGATTCATGCATCAAGGATAAAGGCATTTGTGTGAGTTATGAAAGCATAAACTTCATATGTGTACCTATAATACTATGCTTCGAGATAACAGAGCAAAAATATCCACGTGGTCAAAGAAGTCAAGATTTCTTTTCACTTCTGACATGAAAAATCAGTAGGAATATATGACAAGAAAAACATAATTCAACACGATTACACCTCACATTTGTTCAGTGTTAAGCTACATACTTCTATGTGGAGCATTTATGGAGGTACTATTTGGACAAGTATATATTGTGATGTCCATTTATAAAAATCCCCAAAAACAGACATTTAGGTATTGTGACAGAGGTTGAAACATTTCTTGGACTGCTAATTATTTTGGGTTTAATCATACACCTAGATTGCTAGACTAAGATGACAGTTAACACTTTTTTTCTAAAAAAAAAAAAAAAGAGCCAGATTTGTATGCCATGTTACTACTCAAAACATGACCTGGAAATACAAATAATTTGGAACAAACATTTATAGGAAAGAATGCATGGCCTTACCAAGAAGTTTTAAGCAACATTGGAATGAATTTAGAAAGTTACAGATGTCCTACATATCCCCATTCACTTTCTCGCTTTAATGTCATTAAATATGAAAGAACAAGTATTTCTTACAATATCTCCAGATTTTATTTGAAATTTACTTTTTTTCTATTACTATTCTGATCTTATACAGGGGCTATTGACCACATAAGATAACCAAATTTTGGGTTTTTTTATGACGAAACTGGTAATGGAACAGGATAAAGGACAAACACTTTTAATCTCATGATCAGTAGGTACACAACGTACTTGGTTAAGACTCCACTTTCTCCATTTCCAAGTTAACTTCTCAAATTCTGAGTAATAGATCAGGAAGTTTTGCATACCTTAAAGAAGTAAGGATTAATGTGTTCCACTATGTGGAATAGTTTGACATTTTAATAGGGGTTTATATCTTCTTGTTTATTTTACTGTGTTGCTCAAATTATTTCAGTTTGGGCCATTGGGATGTTTTCAAGTTGGTTTGTGTGTCATGTTGACATGTCCCCATTCTTTGATGTTTTGAATTTATGATAATGTAAGACACTTTAGGCTTACATTATGTTTCTGCCATAGCTGCGAATCAACAGTTTTTTAATGAATGACTGGTGGTTGCTGTTATGGATTAATACATAGGAACAGACTTGGGGGCCAGGCGATTAGAAATAGAAATTTAGTATACAAAGAAAAGGAGTTTTAGGTTCCTGTTCATTCCACTTCATTTCCATTTACTAAAAAGTAAAATTTGTGAAACTCAGTATTTCAAGCTTGTATTCATTTCTAGGAAAGTGATGTACAAATGTATTTGAATTAAATATTAAGGCCAAAGTAGAATATAATGGGTGTAGGAATTAAGGTGAGATCTTTGTTAAAATATTTTAAGCTATAAAGGAAAATATAGAAGCTTCAGGAGTATCTACAAATAGCAATAGACATACAAAATTAAGGCAGAAAATGAAGAACTGGGAATTTGGCTCAAGTGGGAGGCACTGGGTTTCATCCCTGGCTCTGTATGGTCTTCTGGAAACTGCTTGGAAGGCTTTGGTGATCTATGAACACTGCAAGATTTATCACCTGAAGCTTTTCTCTTTTTTTCCAGTTCTATGTAGGCACCATGATTTACAGAACTGTAAACAGATTTTAGGTATAAAATATCCCAACACCACACACTCCACTAGTAATATCTCTGGGCCAGAGCGATAGTATAGCTGGTAAGGCATATGCCTTGAATAGTCAGACTAGGGTTTGGTCTCTGGCTCTCCATATGGTTTTCCAACAAGTGATTCCTGAATGTTGCAGGGTATAGCCCAAAAACAGAACAGTCTACATCTCTTCACCAATGTCTCAAGATACGCACCCAGCATCATCCTAAGCAAACCCAACTTAGCAGTCTCTCAACCACATGCTTATAGTTCATTATGTATTTTTCTTTCTTCTCCATTTCTCCATCCCTCCCTCTCTCTCCTCTCCTTTCTCCTTTTTAGGCACTGGTTTGCAATACTGTTACTCAAAGGGTATCATGCATGTCACTTCCTCCTTTCAGCACCCAGTTCTTGTCCACAGTGATTATTTGCAACTCTCATTGTAGTGGTCCTTGCTCTGTCCCTGCACTCCCCTTTCCCCTTATTGCAAATTTCTTACCATGGGCCAATCCTCCTGGCCTTTATATTGTCGTTGGGCAGTAGTTTCATGTTTTTTCAACCCCTAAAATGAGTGCAGTGATTCTGTCTGCCCCTCTAATTTCACTCAACATGGTACTTTACATGTCCATTATAAGCAAATTTCATAAATTCATTTTTTCTAAAGGCTGCATAGTATTATGTAGGTGTGCCATAGTTTCTTTATCCACTTACTGTTCTTAGGTGCTTGGGTTGTTTCCAGATTCTCTATTGTGAATGGTGCTGCAATGAACATAGGAGTGCAGATGGCTTTTCTGCACTGTTTTTGTTTGTTTGTTTTTTGGGGGAGGTGCAACTAGGATATATTCTCAGGAACAGTATTGCTGGGTCACATAGAAACCCGAGTTCTAGTTTTCTGAGAATTGTCAATATTTTCCAAAAAGCTGGACCCATCAACATTCCCACCAGCAGTGGGAATGTCCTTTCTTGTTCTTTTTGATGTGTGTCAGTCTGGTAAGAGATACATGTTGCAATTTTTTTTTTCTTTTTGTGTAACACCTGGTGATGGATGCACAGGGGTTACTCCTAGCTCTGCCTGCCTTCAGGAATGACTCTGGGCGGTGCTCAAGGGACCATATGGGATACTGGGAATCGAACCTGGGTCGGCCATGTGCAAGGCAAATGCCCTGCCCGCTGTGCTGTCGTTCCAGTTCCTGCAAATTTTTAAAAACCAGTTCCTGCAAATTTTTAAAAACTAATATTCTCAAGGTGTTTAAAATTATTATTATTATTATTATTTTGCTTTTTTGGGTCACACCTGGTGATGCACAGGGTTTACTCCTGGCTCTACCTCATGAGTTACTCCTGGCGGTGCTCAGGAGACCATATGGGATGCTGGGAATCGAACCCGGGTCGGCCGCGTGCAAGGCAAACGCCCTACCCGCTGTGCTATCTCTCCAGCCCCTAAAATTATTTCTATGTAAAATTTTAAGTTGAAATTATGAGCAAATACATTAACAAAATTGAATGTGGTTCTTAAAGGTATCTGAACTCTTAAAATCTGAAAATTTTAATCTTCCATTCTGTTTTATTAAGCATGCCAGTTGATGCATTCAAAAGGAAGAAAAATTACTTAATTTAGTATGAATAGACCTTTGAGAAAAACATCTTAAGAACTTCTATTTAATATAGTGTACAACTTTTTTTTTTCAC